GGTTTTTGATCCTTTTTCCAGTTTTTATATAATTCATAGCACTTTTCGTACCGTTGCAACGCATTGTCTTTTTCAAATCTGGTCAAGTATTCGTAAATTTTTCGTCACTGTCCGAGTTACCATTCATTTTTACTTTATTACAAAATTTAAATTAAGTTTTATTGTTATTTTATACTTTTGTTGTCCGTTTTTATTTTGATTTACACAAACGTCTGAAAATCTCAAATGTCAAAATGTCAAATGTCAAAATACATAAATGTCAGTCAAAGGTGTCTAGATTGTGAAATAATCAAGTTTAGCGGCCCTAGGGACGATAAATATTATTTTCGGTCATATTTTTAGGTTTGATATGATTCATTTTTATATGTGCTGGGCGAAAAAATAATGAAGATCCCACCAGAATAGATAAACATCACAACATGGGAAGCATAATCGATCATTACATCAATTAAATCCTTGGATTTTAAAATAAAACTAGAAGACACATCACTGTCAGATCACAATATTTTACAATTATAAAATTAAAAATAAACTATAAAATAGAAGGAGATCAAAAAAAGATTGTTAATCTTTTTAATAAATACTATATAGAAAATGACAAACAGCAAATTACTACACAAAAAGTCCAATAAATAACAAAACATTTTATTTGGAACCATGCTCTAATCTAGAAATAGTGCGAGAGCTCTTAAAACGTAAAAGATTAAGATTAAAACCAACAATGATTTTTAAAATGTGCAAATCAATTATAGTGAAACAAACAATTTTCATAGAGTGCAAACTAAAATGGTGCAACGGTCAATGAGGAGTGAAGTGTTAAGTGATGAATGAGTTAAGTGCCACCTGTCATTGGACGCTTTTCACTGGACAAACAAAGGAGGTCAAACAAGAGGGGAGGTGGCCATCCGCAAAAAAAAAATTGATAAGTAACTTTAAGCATATGCATGACCTAACACATAATCTGCAAATTAAACACGACAGATATCTTTAAAACCCTAAGAAAGGCACACTGCGTAGGACAATTAATCTGTCAACAACAAATGCGTAAGGCAAACCCAAACGAGACCAATAATAAACACTAGACACACAAAATAAACTAACACATTAATCATTATAACCCTAACATAGTAAAAAAAGCATAATAACCAAACTCTACTGGATTTGTAAACATTATATAACAGAATAATTGCGCTTGTCATTTGTTTAACTAATAAATAAATGCAATACTTAATTTTAGAATTTAAGAAAAAAAGACAAAACTTTACCACAAAACGTGCTTGGGCAACACAATAACTAAAAAAAAAATTGTTAGAAATTTCGCACTACTGCGGCAATAAACAATTAAAAAAAAAACACCAAAAGCTACAAGTTACATATCCAGCCACTGAACTATCTATTGATGGTTTTCGGCATCAAGACAACTCCCCAACTCCAAATAGTAATCCCAAATGTTTGAAGTAATACTAATCGACTGGACTAGGGGGATTCCGCGTCGTACTTAGTTTTAAGTCGGCCTAATTGTCCCCCAAAAACCAACAAACGTCTATCCCTTCCGTCCCTCCTCCTCTATACCCTACTGGGCGTATAGCATCGGCTCGGCGAACCCGAGAATGGCTATTAAAACTATTCGCATGTCGCTCTCGAGACCCAAATAGGGGACAGTACGGAACGCAATGGACATTCGCATCCAGCAAACACGGGTAAAGTAAGAAATAGAAAACAATGCAAATGAAGGCTTAAAACAATTTTAAGAGTGGACAAAAAATAACAAATTAAAACTTAACAATAATAAAACTGTAAAGATGAAATTTAAACATAAAAATAAAAAAGACATTTATAATATAGGACAGAAGAACCCAGTAAGTGAATTTAAATACCTGGGAATGTGGATTGACAACAATTTAACATGGAAAAGACACATAAAACAAATAGAAGAAAAGATAATCCCATTGTTTGACTGTTTAAAAAGATGCGGTGCTGAAATCTGTGATAAATAATTCATAGAGTCTCAGTTTCAAATTAAAACTTTCAATATCAGATTACTACATGGGGTTGTGCGTGTACTAGTGATTTAAAAAAATACAAAGAACTCAAAATAAGTGCCTTAAATCGTTATTTAACATAAACAAATACTTTCCCAGTAATGAACTGTACAAATTTTGTACTACAAAACATTAAGTAGGTATTAGTAATAAGGAAAGACTAAAGACTAGAACTTTTAAAGTTAACTTTTAAAATAAAATATAAAAAACAAAAAACCAAAATTGAACTGCAAATAAACAATTAATTTCACAACATATAACGAGACAAAACAGTGATACACATCAGAGTCAATATTTATCAATCAGTGGAAATTATAGTGCAATAAGTAACGGTACGATTGAGTTTAACAAACTACCTCTGGAAATTAAAAATATTTTAAACTATAACATATTTAAATGAAAGATACTAGAATGTTTTATTCAAATCTAGTTTTGGAATGTAAAAAATTATTAAGCCATATTTATTTCAAATTTAGTTAGGGTGTTAGGTTAGAATATGGCACCAGTCTGATAGACTGTATGTTGTATTTTTAAAGAAATTTTAATATGCCAAAAAAATGTGATATTTATTTAATTTTGTTATGATTTTAGGAATTATATTTATTTTTTTATATTTTATATACAAATAATTGTATTTATGTTGGGTATTATCAGGGGGGTTGCTACCGCGGTATCAGCCGGCTAGGGGGGCCCCCGATGAGCTTCGACATGCGTAAGCAAAAACATATTTCCCGCATGTTAAAAAAATTAAGTCATAAAATTAAATAAATAAATAGATAATATTATTATTTAATTGAATACCCTCCTCTTCCAATGAGGCCGTGAACTCATACGAATTGTTTCTGCCCGCACCTTTCCGCTATGCGTTCTCTGCGGCGCAGTCTGCGCATATTGTTCTGTGCTATGCGCGGCATACTGAGTCTGCTTTGCGTGATATTATCATAGGTTATAGTAATAGCAAATTAGAAATAATTATTAGCATTACAATTATTTCAAATGACTTGCCTTCATTTTAAAATAGAAACCTTTTAAAATATGTTGAAGAACAGTAAATGTCAAAAACCAGACAAAATTTTAAAATTTGCCTTTACATAAAAAACTATGTATACATTTAATGTTTATTAAATTATAAAAAATCGGTAAATGCAAAAAAATGATACCTTAAAAATTTTTTTTGTTTGCCCAAAATAGACTTTGGGCGTGACACCCAGAAATTTTTATGAGGAGCTTTTCCCATATAAGAACCCCTACCAGATTTTTGATATGGGGCCCCCTCGAGGCTAGCTACGCCACTGGGTATTATACACATTTATATATTTTATTTATATTTTTTTTATGTGCAATATTGAAATAAAGTTATTAGTAATATTATTAATTGCTCTAGTTTATTATGAATATTTTAAAACCTTGCATAAATGGTATACCGTAAACACGGGTTGCTTTAGCTCACTTTCAAACTTAATCTTAACATTTTTGTAGTTTTAACAATCATAAACATTAAATATTGTATACCAAAATTTGAGTCTTGAGTTGCTCTTTCATAATAACTATATAATCTTACATAGGGCTGTGTTTCAAAAATAAAAATTAAAAACGTTATGCAAAGTTACCTCCTGGTTGCGGGTTACTTGTCTCCCAGTGTATTTTCCGTATAAAATTAACTCAATATTTTATTTTATTTTTATTAGACATATGTTAGCAGCGACATATAGCAATTGCAAGGGATTACCGATAAAAACAATAAAAAATCGACCTGTAGTTAACCAAGGATCATCATTCCAAAGAATTGCGCATAATATAGAAATTGAAACGCGTGTATTTTTAAGTGGTTTGCACTAATGCAATATATACAACTTTAAAGTGTAATAAATCCAATTTATTTTTTTAAAACACTGATTTTCCTGTAATATAAATTCAATAGAATCGCTCAATTGGCAGGTTTAGACCAACATATTATAAGTGTTAATTTTATCGAGCGCGAAATTTTTTTTCATAAAAGGGCTAAAGTCACCCGCGGGGTGCAAAGTCACCCGTGTTTACGTTAAGTACTGTTTTTCTTGTTTTTTCTTATTATTATTATTTTAGTTTTATTTTTATGATGTTATATAATTTTATTAACTGTTTCATTGCGGCAACCGGACGAATCCGCAAAAAATTAGTGCTCGCCCTGCGGGAGCCGGTTATTTTCAACAGTGTGTAGGCATGCTTTAGCACGGGAACCGGTCGCTTCCGCGCGTTTTTATGTATTGTTGATTGTTTACTTTTGATGTTTTTTTATGCGTCGCTGATGTATCAGCTGTTAGGAGATTTTTAGTATTCGCAATTGCGGGAAACGTACGAGTCTGCGTTGTAAATTAATTTACACAATTGTGTATTTTCGCAGTCGAAACTTGATTCTAATAGTGATAAAACGTACATTCATCATGCGGCCAAGGACTATGTGACTTATTAATAAATAGTGATAGTGAAGAAGAGTTAGGCGATAATGAAAGTGAAGAGATCGAATTTGAAAATAATACAGTTTCAGATAATAAAGACCAACAAGAAAATAAGAGAAACAGTTTACACTTGTCAAAAATGCAATATTCCTCTTTGTGTAGTCGGATGCTTTGAAAAATACCACACCACAAAAAGATTTTAGTTTTTGTACTTTATTTGTTGTTTTGTATTTTATTATATCGTTTCTGTTTCATTTGCTTTATTTATTTTTTGTCTTTTTTTTTAAATAAATAGTTATGTAATAGTTATTTGTAAAACAAAAAAAAAACAAAAAATACAATTTACTGCGGGGACCGTACGAATCCGCGCTTGCTATATAAAAAAACCTGGGTCAGAAGAAAGTTAACTACGGGAAACAGACGCATCCGCAAAGGCTTTCTGATGCCGTACGGTGGGCATAGCTATTGAAAATGGATGCCTCAACGAAAGGGTTAAAAAAACAATTATTTTCTTATTTACCAATTCATCTTCCCCTACCCTTTTGAATAAAGGGTGCTCTGTAATATGTTGTACCATCCATTCATGTAAATCTTTTACATCAGTTACTGTGTAAATAATACCCCCTACAGACATGACATAGGCATATTCTGCTAATAAACACTGGTTAATAATTCTCCACTTGTGTTTAGCCTTCTTAAAATGAGGATCTGGGTACAAAAAGAACATTTTTGTCAGCTAAAACAACAAACATTTAGCCAAATACATACTTTTAAAAAATAATATAAATTACCTGTCCTTTTTTAAAGTAATTTGGTAAGTACTTCATAGCATTTGTCCTCAAACAAGCCACATTTTGATAATCATTGGGATTCTGCGATCTCAAAGCAGCAATTCTATCCATTACATAGTCAGAAACTTTAACTCGAATCTCCATTCCTATCATTAGAGTTTCAGGAAACATTGTTGCCAAAGTAATAAGTAAACCTCCATAACCGCAACCTATATCAGCAAACTGAACCTCTGGATTATTTTTACTGCCTAGTTTAACTTTTTCCGGGTAATATTTCTCCCAGTTCATATCACTTGGGGTTAAAGGACTGCAAATATTTAGTTTAGCCCAATGTTTATATTATACATATACATATACAATAATATATAAACATTATTAAATAACTTACTAATCAAAACAATGATCTGCTATGGGATTTGAATGGGCCCTTTGACGGTAATACCGCTTTTGCGGCAAAGAAACAACTTCTGAACTCATTTTGCACTAATTTAAAACATTTAACAATAAAATAGGTAATTAGTGTAAAGTAAGGTTATACCAAATAGAATAAGGTTATTCTTCTTCTACTTGCCACCAAGCCAACCACAATTATTGTATTATACTGCATTTAAAAACCTTAAAATATGATTATTATATTAATTTCCAGACTTCAATGGTTAATAATAGTGTTATGTAAGGTATATTAGTAGTGTTATTTAATATTAATTTGATTTGTGTGTACTTTCAAAAGTCCAATTTGTATAAAAATAAAGCGAAGTTAGTCGCAAATATTTGTCATAATGTCCGTCATTTTTTCAATCAACTAAAAATTTCCAATATTCGCCTTAAAATGTGACTAAATCCATTGCAAAGTTGTTATTTTTAGGTAAGAACTAACCCCCATAAAAAACAACAATGTTTCATAAAGCTGACAATCAAAAAGTCAGCTTTTTGGAGCAAACAAAAGCTGCTAGAGAAGAAAGGGCTTTTGAAAAGAAGAGAGAAAATGCGGCAATTGTTATACAGAGTCTCGTTAAGGGGTGGATACAGAGGAAAAAGTTTTCCAAGATAATTATGTATGTATTTATAACATTATTTATGGCTTTTACAACATTGTTATACATCTAAGATGTAACATCTTAAAAACAAAATATTACCCTGTTAGATGTAGGTATGTTCTAAAAATGTCAACATAAGCTGGATATAGTTGTCTTAAGAGAGTCAACTTTTGCTTGATATATCCATTAAGTAAAGAATTTCTCAATCAACTGTCTTACATAAATTCATATCCTACCAAAATTAATTGTTTTAGTGATGATTTTGACAATGCTGTACCCAATGTGGACACTAAAAGTAGTGAAAAGACCAAGTTAAAACCTAGTTTGCAAATATACATGCAAGTTAAGCGATTGTTAATTGTGTTTAACAAAGAAAGAGATAGGGAGAGATTCTTAAAACTATGCCACTACTTAATTGCAAGCTTAGAAGAGGAAACTTTAAAATTCAACTATGTAGGGGTGGCATTTAATAAAGAGTATGTTATACCATGGATATCACATATGAAGGAAGTTTTGTGGATATGTATGGAGTATTTGGATGATCTCAAACCGGAAATATCCAGTGATTATGCGAAGGTGGTTTTGTTTTTGCATGTTTTGGTGTCCTATACAAGTACCAGTCAATGGGGTATTTTCAACAAGAGAAAAGATATGGAAGTGCTTAAAAGTGGAATGAATCAGATGTGTAATAATCTTATGGGACAGTTGTTTCAAAAAGGATATTACAGGATAATTAAAGTATGTTATGTTACTAATTTAAAAAAAGAATCATATCTCAAAAACTTAAAAAGATACTACTAATGCTATTTTTACAAAATTATTTGTCATAAAAATATCTGTTTCTAAAATTAAGTTTTCTACCTCAAAAAGGAAATTTAAAATAAAACCCAATTATATTAATTTTTTATTTTATTTCATTTTAAACAATCATTGTAAATAATATATTTTTTAATGTAATGTAAAATTACGTTTTTAACCTCAAAATATTATTTTAAATAAAAGTGTGCATCATATAACTAATAATAATTGTTATATAACATATAACTATATATAATAATTATTATTATTCCATTATACCAATAATGGGTTGCATATCAATTTTCCTTAAAAGCTTAAATATTTTACATCTAGCAACAATGCTTTAAAGCCCACTGCACAATAGCCCGGGAACGGGAATCTTAACATTAAAGCCCGCTGCACAACAGCGCGGTAACGGAAATGGGAACCTAAACGGTAAAGGTTGTCGTACCCGTTACCGGGCTATTATGCAGCGGGCTTAAAGGTGGGAGAGACTAAAAAACCACTGTTGATAGATAGGGTTCGTTGAGTCTCTCTCACCTTTACTGTTTAGGTTCCCGTTTCTGTTACCGGGCTATAAGGTGACGTCATAAGCGCGAAAGCAAATATTTTAAAATATCCAATTGGAGTGAATTTAAAAATATTTAATATTAAACTATTGTAATTCTGTTATTAGAAATTGTTACTGAAAGGATTGTGCAGAAACAGGGTACCATTCACACATGCAGCTTTGGCAGCTGTTTTGTCTTTATCCCTAAGACCACTTATAGCTGCAAATTTTTCTGACAAGTTGATGTCAATGTATTTAATTCACATCCTATCCACTCCAGCTTTAATAAAATATTGTTGTCAACTTTCTGAGGAGGTAAAAATATTGATAAATATTTATTAAAGTTATTTCAGTTTTACTTTTTTTTAGTCTGTTTTGCAAATGAAAAGTAACAGAATATTTGGTAGGAGTTTAGAACTGCTTTCAAGTCAACAATCAATGAGAATTGTTTTCAACACTTTAGAAGGAAATTATGCATTGTGTTTGTTGGCGAATATTTTGCAACTTGCAATGTTTGAAAAGGATACCTCCTTAAGGGATTTGAGTTTTCCAGCCTTTACTGTAAGTATTTTATAAGAATATTCAACATTATGTATTATACATGTTTGCAAAAAAAATGGACATTTTAATTTTTTCATTTTTAGAACAAATCCTCTTTGTTATAGGTTGTTGTAACAGGTCTTTTGGAAAGTTGTCAAAATTATGTGGTAACAAAACAATCAAACACAACACATTGGCATCCAGTTTTAGGTTGGTTTGCACAACCTATGGACCAATATTTACACGCTTCTATGAATCTAATTAAAGAACAATTGTCATTACTGTGGAATAATGATATTATACAAATTATATTGGGTAAAATAATAGACTTAAAATATCATTTTGCTACAGGGTAAACATTAACTTATCTGATTCCAATAATGAGTATTTGATAATTTTGCTCAATAAGCTCTTGGTTTTAAGATATAAAAATGTTGTTGCCACCCTGCAAAATCTTGGTTGAACAGTGTTAATATTTGTTTAATTTAGGTAATTATTTGTCAGAGTTGGTGGCAGGTTCAGAACCTCCACAACCTGTGACAAGTCCAAGTAATCCAAATAACCTATTTTTGAACTCAAACTTGTTCAAAAAAGTTTTGGAAGTCCGGGGGAACAGGGCCAATGTTCAAAGAAGTTATAGAGCCCTTGGTAGCCCTGAGGTGCACAGAATAGTTTTAATATGTTCTCTGTACCACACATCTTTAAATACTTTAACGCAATTGCATTTGGATATTTTGACTGGTAAAATTTTAACAAAAATATATTTCAACAGAGAAAATTGTAATACATTATTTTAGGTTTGTGTTATCAAAATACGATTTTATATGATTTGTGGCTGTTTATTTGTTCTCTGGGGCCAAATTGTGCTATCAGGACTTTTTTGGATCATTTGGCTTTTAATACCAAAGGCACAGCTCCTGAGTTTCAGTTGTTACAACTTTTCTGTGATTGTATGACACATTATGTAACGTAAGTAAATACTTTTTGAAATTTTACTTAAAATAACGCAACTTCATTAATTTATTGACAAATAGGTCACTAGAGTTTACATTTTTTGTTTAATTAATAATATTTTTTTATTCTTATAATAGGTATGTTCATTAAAATATTGAATATATTTTACTTGTATTACTGAAAAAATTAAATAAAATATTAAATTGCATTTTTACTACAAAAAATTTAATTATAATATAAATATTGTTAGAAATAGAGGAAAAGAAAAATTAAAAGCGGTCATTTGCAGCAACAAAGTTTATTAACAACCAACTTAATCTCCAAATAATCAATAATTAATAACAATTAACAAAATTCATCAGACATTCCAAGCATGGGTTATAAGAAGACTTGTCATTTATATTCGCTTCATTACATAACTTCAGTGACTGTCAGCGGTTCACCAAAAAATCCAACTTTGTTAATCATACATCCCAAAAATTATTCGCTAAGGATATATTTTAATGTTTTTGAGTAAAATGATTTTGGCTCAAATTTTGTTTTTTATATTGTTTATTGAATATTGGAGATTTTGTATAAGTACTTAACAAAATGGGTTTGCAGAATCTGTGACCATTGAATAGAAAGAATAATACTGGATTTTTAGTATTTTAGATGATATGGAAATGTATGAACAACAAAAACAGTTCCACTTATCCGATTTTATCGTAATGTCACATTTTATCAATACATTTTTGTATAAGGCAGTATTAGGAAACCTTTTTGGTAAATACACTTATACATCAGGAGTTGATAGTTAAAAGTTTTACTCACCTAATACCAAATACCAAAAGTGAGGAAAACCTTTAACTCTTAAACACTGAAAAAAAACAAAGTCTTATTTTAGATTTAAAAACAATTCAATCCAACAACCTATTTCAAAGCCTGCACCAACTGCTCATGCTCCTCTACAGACGCGACTGCCGCCGAAACTACACGCCAGCCAATCACTGGCTGATAAAAGACATCAAGGTGTCCAGTTTCATAAGTGACTTAGAGAAAGGCAGGCGCGCCCCCCAGCTTCTTCTCCAGTCGATGCCGCACGTCATTCCGCACGAGGATCGAGTCAGGCTTTTTAGGAAGTACATAACCAACGAAAAGACTGTTTTAGGGTTAACGGAATCGGCGTGCGCATCGCCTCAGTCCACGCTTATTACTGTACATAGGTAAGACAAATATGCGCTAATTTTATTATTTACTTATTGCGGGTTTGCATTAAAATGTACCTGTTATTTTAAGATCTCGCATAGTAGAAGACGGCTACAGGCAACTGGCCCTTTTGCCCCCTCAAGCTCTTAAGGGGGTGATCCGCGTACGTTTCATAAATGAACAGGGACTCGACGAAGCCGGCATCGACCAGGACGGCGTTTTCAAGGAATTCTTGGAAGAGAACATAAAACGAGTGTTTGACCCTGCACTCAACCTCTTCAAAGTAAGTTGTTTAATTTCGTTTTGGACTTGGACTACAGACTGGGGAGACTGAGGGGTATTTTTTTTTAACTTAATAAATATCCTAAAACAGTCAGCTATCTCAAACATTCCAAAAATTTCCTTAAAATTTCTAAAAAGTAACAAAAAGCTAAATACAAAAAGTCTCAAAAATTATACAAATCGTAAACAATTTCCTAAAACTTTCTAAAATCGACAAAAAATGTAGTAAAACTCACCCTTAAAATGAAGGAACAAACGACTTTTTGTATTTAGTTTTTTTGCCTAATGGTATTGTGTATTTTTACAATAGTTGTACCCAATAGAAAGTAAAAAAAAACAATCAATTATACTAAGTTTACGCGGTCAAACCCCAGATCCTATTTAAATGCGACATATATCAGCCAAGTTCGCCGCGAACTGTTCGAGTTTATCTTTTGCTTTGAGGCGAAATAATATTAGCTTTTGTTCACACGGTGGGGATTTTAGTGTGCTTCCCAGCGTGTATAGGGTAGGTGTTCTTGTTTTGATTAAGATTAAATTATTTAAAACTTTTGGCTGATCGTTAATAGGTTTTGTCTCGAAAATTTAAAAAACGAATTTATGTTTTTGAGTTTCGTAATTTGGGTTAAGATTGTTTTGATATTTTCTGTTTTGTTTTATTTTTTTTTTATTTATAATCGTTTAGTAGGGCTATCGGCCATTTTAAAATAGGTCAACGCATCGAAAAATAATACCTCCCGGGTGGCGTATTGGCATTGTGTACTACGATACAGAGCCATAGTGTTCTGAATCGCAGTAAGGATTGACAAAATTAAACGCCACTAAGTACAATACAATCCATACTACGATTCAGCACATCTCCCAGTTTGTGATGTTCTGAATCATAGTAGAGAATGGTACGCGACCGCAGCAGGCCATACTTTACTACGATTCAGAAAATAGTATTCTAATTTGAATTGTAGTTGGATAGCTTACCTACAAATACGCTAGCTGCACGCCTTATCAATAAAAAGCAAATTATTATTTTTAATTGGAATTTATTTATTAATAAATATTAATAAAAACAAACTAGGTACTCTCTGCAGTTTTAATAATAAATATACATTAACCCAAAGGAAAAAAATCATTTCAAACTTATTAACAAAAAGATCATTTTACCCAAAAATTTTGCAAGTATCAGATATAAACGTACCACAACGGATTTAAATAATATTTGAAATAGTTAATAAGCTTTTTTTTCTACTTTTACATAAAACTATTAATTTTGCAAAAACATAAACATAAAATATACATAAATAAGAAATTTTATTTTATTGTATTGTATTATATTATATTTTGTATTGTGTTGTTTTCTTTAATAGACACCAAATAAAAAGTTATATTTTTTATTTTTTAAATATATAAAATCTTTTGCTTTTTTCTCTTATATTTAAGAAAGAAAAATAGAAACATGAGGGCATTAACTACTAAAATATTTATAAAAATCTATTAAGGATTGTCGATGATAAAGCCAAATAAAATTTTAGGGCAAAACGATCTTTAACTTAAAAAATCGATAATAAAAAATAAATATTGTCAGTGAGATTTTTGGTTGGGTCTGTTTCACTACTATGAATTAATTTCCAACATAACCTATAACTCTGGCTTATTACTTTATGCGTGCGGCACATAGCCAATATTTTCTGAATCGCAGTAAACTATGGCCTGCTGCATTCGCGCAAACACTTCAACATTCTCTACTATGATTCAGAACATCACAAACTGGGAGATGTGCTGAATCGTAGTATGGATTGTATTGTACTTAGTGGCGTTTAATTTTGTCAATCCTTACTGCGATTCAGAACACTATGGCTCTGTATCGTAGTACACAATGCCAATACGCTCCCGGGTGGCGTATTGGCATTGTGTACTACGATACAGAGCCATAGTGTTCTGAATCGCAGTAAGGATTGACAAAATTAAACGCCACTAAGTACAATACAATCCATACTACGATTCAGCACATCTCCCAGTTTGTGATGTTCTGAGTCATAGTAGAGAATGTTGAAGTGTTTGCGCGAATGCAGCAGGCCATACTTTACTGCGATTCAGAAAATATTGGCTATGTGCCGCACGCATAAAGTAATAAGCCAGAGTTATAGAATAGTTAGAAATTAATTGATAGTAGTGAAACATACCCAACCAAAAATCTCACTGACAATATTTATTTTTTATTATCGATTTTTCAAGTTAATTAACTTAAAGATCGTTTTACCCTAAAATTTTATTTGGCTTTATCATCGACAATCCTTAATAGATTTTTATAAGTATTTTAGTAGTTAATGCCCTCATGTTTCTATTTTTCTTTCTTAAATATAACAGAAAAAAGCAAAGGATTTTATATATTTAAAAAATAAAAAATATAACTTTAAATTATTATATCAAGTATAATCTATGTATTTTTATTTGGTGTCTATTAAAGAAAACAACACAATACAAAATATAATATAATATAATACAATACAATACAATAAAATAAAATTTCTTATTTATGTATATTTTATGTTTATTTTTTTGCAAAATTAATAGTTTTACGTAAAAGTAGAAAAAAAAGCTTATTAACTATTTCAAATATTATTTAAATCCGTTTTGGTACGTTTATATCTGATACTTGCAAAATTTTTGGGTAAAACGATCTTTTTGTTAATAAGTTTGAAATGATTTTTTTCCTTTGGGTTAATGTATATTTATTATTAAAACTGCAGAGAGTACCTAGTTTGTTTTTATTAATATTTATTAATAAATAAATTCCAATTAAAAATAATAATTTGCTTTTTATTGATAAGGCGTGCAGCTAGCGTATTTGTAGGTAAGCTATCCAACTACAATTCAAATTAGAATACTATTTTCTGAATCGTAGTAAACTAATTTAGTGTAGGGTATGCGCGACCGCAGCAGGCCATACTTTACTAAGTAAAGTATGGCCTGCTGCGGTCGCGCATACCCTACACCATTCTCTACTATGATTCAGAACATCACAAACTGGGAGATGTGCTGAATCGTAGTATGGATTGTATTGTACTTAGTGGCGTTTAATTTTGTCAATCCTTACTGCGATTCAGAACACTATGGCTCTGTATCGTAGTACACAATGCCAATACGCTCCCGGGTGACGTGGAAATTTATTCGTTTTTAGACAAAATTAACCTCATAAAATTTTCTACAACTAACAAAATATTTCGTAAAACTATAATTATAATTATAAATTAACTTAAAACTATCAGTGTTATGGTTCTTTAAATTGTTTGTTCTGTGGATACACCAGAATACACTTAAAAAAGATCTGTCATCTGTTTGCATGGCTACTACCCTGATTGCTACCAACTTTACGTATTTTTTACGGTCACCCGTAAGATCTTATGTTCGAACGTAATACGTAAAAATTACGGTTATTCATTATAAACAGGCACACTGGTTTTGTTAATATTCAACTTTACGTTTTACGTATTTCTTACGGGCATCTTATGGTTACGTCCATTATGAATGAGCACTTACAAAAGCTGTTTTTTGTACGATAAACGATTCCGGAGATATTCGAAAAAAACGATTTTTTTTCTAAAATTTCAACACCCTGTATCTCGAAAATTGTGCATTTTAGAGGGTAAGTTAATAGCGACTCTTTCATCTTTTTGGATGAGCTATCACATCCTGAAGTCCTGCGCATATATTATGAAACACCCTGTATTTTACCTACAACACTTCAATATACATATACATAGGACATGACTTAAAATTGTAGAAAATTTCTTAAAACCGACAAAAATCCATTTGCCTAAAATATCCTAGAACGTTTCAAAATGTCCTAAAAAGAACTGACCAAAATTTTACAAAATTTACTAAAACCGACAAAAAATCATTTGCCTAAAATCTTCCAAAACTTTCTAAAATTGTCTTAAAAAACGTCTAAAAACTATTAATTGTACAAAATATCCTAAAACTTTCTAAACTGTTTAGATTTACATTTAGATTTAGACTTTTAAGCGTAGGCGTAGTCGTGGGGGCAAGGGGGTTCAGTTGCCCCCCCTCCAAGGTCTAAAAAAAAAGATTATTGGCGTGCCAATTCAATTATCTGTAGAAAATCATTAATTAAAAAGAATGTTGTAGAACTCTTGTTTTTTATGATTACTTGTTTTCTTAAGATCCAGGGGTGATGCTTTTTAAGTTCGGATTCTTTTGCCCCCCTGCTAAAAATTCTGGCTAGGCTCATGAGCCTAGCATGCATGCTTTGGAGATAAAGCACATACGCTATCTCTGACTCTTTGGTCTAAGCCTTAGACTCTAAGGTATATTTTTTTAGGCGACAAGCGAAGAACGCCTTTACCCTTCTCCCACGTCTTACATGCAAGACAATCACTTGCAACTGTTCGAATTCGTGGGCCGCATGCTGGGCAAAGCGGTCTACGAAGGCATCGTCGTGGACGTTCCTTTCGCCTCGTTTTTTCTGAGCATGGTTTCCGGACAGACGGCAACCGCGCTTTACAGTTGCGTCGACGAGTTGCCTAGTCTGGATCCGGACTTGTACCGGAGTTTAAGCTACATTAAGCATTACGACGGGGATGTGTCCAAGTTGGATTTGACGTTCAGTTCTGACGAGGATAGTTTGGGGAAGATTATCACGCACGAGTTGATACCTGGAGGGAGGGCTGTTCCTGTTACAAACGAGAATAAGTACGATTTTAAGTATTAAGTGCTTTTTTTTAAATCTAAATAACCATAGAAAAGTTAAAGTCTGATTTGCAGCAAAATGGCTGCTGACCAGTGTTATTTTTTTTCTAGGATCAACTACATTCACCTGATGGCGCATTTTCGTATGCACATACAAATCAAGGAACAAACCACAGCATTCATACGAGGTTTTAGATCCATTATTAATCCTGATTGGTTGACTCTTTTTTCCACACCTGAAGTAACTTTAATATTTTTATTATTATTTCACGCCAAATCGGAGATAAAAAAGCAAAATGATGTCCTATATGGCGTGGAATACACTTTTAACACCTCAAATTTTTACTACAAAAAATTGATTTTTAGTTGCAAAGACTAATCTCGGGGGACAACGTTCCGCTGAACCTGAAAGATTTGAGACGTTACACGCAGTATTACGGAGGGTTCCACGATTCCCACAGAGTTGTCGGTTGGTTGTGGGACATCTTGGAGAAGGATTTCACAGAAGAAGAGAAAGGGCAGTTTTTAAAGGTAGAATCACTCGAGAGTCGTCTTAAATTTCCTAGATTTTTATGTCGATTTCGGTGATTTTCAGTTCGTCACCAGTTGCTCCAAGCCGCCTCTGTTGGGTTTCGAACATTTGGAGCCGCCGTTTTCCATCAGATGCGTCGAAGTGGGCGACGACGAGGACACGGGCGACACGATTGGTATATATTTTTGTTACTTGATTCATTGAAAAATAATACTTTTATAAGATGATATTTGTTTCTTTAATAAAGTCTAGTAGAATTATTCTAGTAGGTTTTATTAAAGATCTTTTATAAAACCTTTTTTGCAATAATTTTTATTGTATTATAATTATTTTTATTGTTAACAATTATTATTGCTGGTTTTAAGACATTTTAGACAGTTTTAAGACAATTTAGATAGTTTTAAGAAATTGTTGGTACATTTTAGAAAGTTTTGAGTATTTTAAGCAAATTAATGTTGATTTTAAGAAAATCCTACGTTTTGAAAGTTTTGAAAATATTTAGATATTTTTAAAACACTTTTAGTAAGTTTAAGGACCTTTTAGAAAGTCTTAGGACATTTTAAAAAGCCTTAGGACAATTTACGTAAATTTCGTCGGGTTTAGTAAATATTCCACAATGTTTATCAATTTTTAGATATTTTAGACAGTTTAAGGTAGTATCCAGTATCTGAAGATACCATTTTAAAAACTGATAAATAAATAACATTAGGCCTTAAGAGCAAAATCAACGGTGCCAATGCCAATATATTAAATATTGTTCTGCTTTAGGATTCCACGGGCGTTATATGTATTAAATGTTTTCCGGGATCTGCTCCGTGTTGTCGGTTTTTGGTGTCTAACTCGCAGCAGAGCAGCAACAGCAGCCCAGCAGATAAGACCTGAAGATGGTACATGAGATTGTACCAAAACGTCGTCAGACATACGGTTCTTTTAAGAACCAAAAACCGACAACACGTAGCAGATCCCGGAAAACCATATACAGTGTGTATTAAAACGAATAGATACACTTAAATAAAACAAGTGCCAAACCCCGCCCACTGTATGCCCTTGTAGATACATGGCATGCCGCGCTGTTGCCATATGCTATTATTGTTTCCTAAAAAGGTTGTTTTTCTTATTTTTTTAGTAGGTATTAAAAGTAAGAAAATTAACTAAATCAAATTATTTTTGACATATTATTATTTTTTTTGTTATTTTTAAAGTTTCAAACAAATAAAATGTATTAAATAATTATAATCGTTCTCTTCTGATTTAAAACAACCTGGCAACTATGGTTGGTAATTACGAATGGCTTGGTTTAAACCACGCCCAATTTAAGTTTGTTTCTTTTTCTCTGATCAAAATATAATTTGTCATCCTTGTCTCCAGCCTTACTTACTTGATTCTATACAGTCTGTATAACCTCGCTCACTGTGCTTTTATTTCGAATGTGCTTTGAACCAGGCACCGACAGACAGCCTGTTTCTGTCCTCATCAGTGTCGGGTAGCCTTGTTGGACCGAAGCGCACTCGAAACAAAATGCACCAGCCGCTCTTATAGCAAGTAATGCCACAGACAGCAGTGACAACACAGCGAACGAGAGTTCTCAGCGACATCTACCGTCCAGAGGACGTCTAACAAGGTCAAACAAGGCTACCCGACACTGATGAGGATCAAAACTCCGAAACAGGCTGTCTGTCGGTGCCTGGTTCGAAGCACATTCGAAATAAAAGCACAGTGAGCAAGGTGATTGGCATTTTCACACATTGATAGGCACTACTACTCTTGTAGGAAAACCATGCTAATATCATCATTTCCAAACTCGGGGAAACAAAATAGGATCATGTTGATATCTCCATTTAAAAAGTTTTCATAGAATGCCTTTAAAATTTAATAGGTTTGTTAGGATTATAAAATTATGAACTGTTTAAAGATTAGGCATAATTTGGTCGTAGTAGTTTTAGGTTCTGAACCGTTCTGGAGTCCAGAATCTGGACTAGTAAAATATTAAAAACCAAAACGCTTTACGGCACTTCTCAAAATCGCCTGTAGGTATCGCGTAGGGGTGTGGATGGGGGCGTGAAGCGTTCATTTAAATTCTTTCCCATGGAAATAAAAATTGACGTGTCCAAGGAATTTTGTCAACATTCACACGTTAAAACGATTGGGGAGTACAAGTTTTCGTTGGATCACCCTTTGTATAATCAAAATACGTTGTTCTTCTCCAGATTCTGAATCTGAACTCGATGATGAGTTTTAACTTTTATAAAGAAAATTAACCAAAGCCAATGATTTTATAATTGTTATTAATTTTCTTTATAAAAGTTAAAACTCATCATCGAGTTCAGATTCAGAATCTACGCCTCTAAATGAAAAAATAAACGGTAATTATTTTTGTCTAAGACTTTAATTTAGGGTTATTTTGACATTTTGACTTTTTTATTTGATTGGTTAAAAGCAGAGAAAAACGCGTGCGTTAATGAACTTCTTATCTCACTCAAAATGAGTGGGATAAGAAGTTCTTATCTCACTGGCGTAGATAAAATTATAAATCCCATACGAATTAACGGTCAAGGAAAAAAATCACAATGGTAGTAGCCAAACGCAACGCGTTGCTAAGAGAATTTTTTTCAATAAGGAAAGAATCCTTACCGATAAGCGTCAAATAAGGAAAAATCATAGCACATCATCCATATAACGTAGAAAGTTTTGTCGCTGATTTCAGAGATTTTGTGTTATTTTCCATATTCTTTCAATAATTCGTTTTTAAACTTGAGCAATAAAAGATGATTATGTGGATGGCTTAGAAATTGATTCTTGCAGTATACAGGGTGTCCCAAAAGTCAACAATATCCTTTGGAGGAATGATGGACCAACCAGAAAATCAAAACATGACCTTGGTAAAAATCGAGAGTTTTTGAGATATACATTTTTATGAATTTTGTAAAACTTGACACCTTATATCAGTTTTTCGAGTGCCACAGCTACAAAATTCCATATTCTTAGATTATATTTTATGTTGGGCAATCCTAAATATGCCTGCTATTGATTACAGTTCAAAATAAAACTAATAGTAGTTTTTTACCCTTTGAAAACAAACATTTTAGCCCGATTTTATAAGTTTTTTTTATTAGCTAACTTCAACCGTTCAGACTGTAAAAAAATATGTCACGCAAACTTGGCAAGATATTTTAAAAATTGCTAATTTAGTGTAATATGCCATGTTATACTTTAAAGAAAAATATATTGCTGTTTTACTGCCAAACGAGTTTATTGTTTAATTATTTCAATATTTAGGAATTTAAACAAAAACACAGATATTTAATTAAACCCTAACAAATCACAAATAAAAATTAAAGAATGCGCTTTAAAGTGAATTTGTGGACCGGCATTTTGAACTGCCAAATAATCGGTCCCTTTGAATTACCTAAAAATTTAAATGGGAAAAATTATCAAGAGTTTTGGGAAAACGAACTGACAAATCTTTTGGATGATGTGCCTGTCGCCACACGCAGGGCAATGTGGCTTCAACATGATGGCTGTTCAGCTCATTACGCACGGGAAGTAAGAATTTATTTGGATCAGGTTTATCCAGAGAGATGGATCGGCCGTCTTGGTCCCATTTTGTGGCCTGCCCGGTCTCCGGATTTAAACCCTCTCGACTTTTTTTACTGGGGTTGCATAAAGGAAAAAGTCTTTAGAATAGTAATTCATAACGTACATAAATTGAGATACTAAATTAATGAAGCCGCACAACAAATAAAAAACGCAAAAAGTGCAAGACAGATAAAACGATCTTTTTTTAAAAGATGCCGCGCTTGCATTCGACTTGGTGGCAGGCATTTTGAACACATTCTTTAATTTTTATTCTGTAGTGGCCCATGAGGGCACATTAAGATGTATTTTTTCAAAATAAAAAAAAATTGTGATTCGTTTTAATTAAATTTCTGTTATTTTCATTAACGAAGTGTTTTTGTTTGAATTCCTAAATATTGAAATAATTTAACAATAAACTCGTTTTGCAGTAAAACAGCAATATCTTTTTCTTTAAAGTATAACATGGCATATTACACTAAATTAGCAATTTTTAGAATATCTTGCCAAGTTTGCGTGACATATTTTTTTACAGTCTGAACGGTCGAAGTTAGCTAATAAAAAAAACTTATAAAATCGGGCTAAAATGTTTGTTTTCAAAAGGTAAAAAACTACTATTAGTTTTATTTTGAACTGTAATCAATAGCAGGCATATTTAGGATTGCACAACATAAAATATAATCTAATAATATGGAATTTTGTAGCTGTGGCACTCGAAAAACTAATATAAGGTGTCAAGTTTTACAAAATTCATAAAGATGACTACCTATATCTCAAAAACTAACGATTTTTTACTAAGGTCATGTTTTGATTTTCTGGTTGGTTCATCACTTTTGGGACACCCTGTATATTTTTTTTAAATCTCAAAAACAATTTTTTTAGTCGTCATAAACAATAAAGTAAATTTTTATTACCTGCTTAAAAGCGGCCGAATAATAATCTATAGATGATTATCAAAAGCGGTAAAAAAGTCACTTTTTTCGACAGCAAAAGACTGTTTTGTTCGGTCTCATTATTTTCAGCTTTATTAATAATTATATCAATAAATCATTAATAAAATGATTATAATGAAGGTCTCCTAAAAAATGTAGTGTACACCACTGCCAAAAAGTGTTATTGTCCTCTTCTTCTTTTTGGCCTCGGCTATCGCCTCGGATATTTAAGTCAGATTCGTCCAAAAAAAGTCACTTCTTGGCCTTGATACACAAATAACTATTTAGCACTTTTTAAGATTGACATTTTTAATTTCGTACTGCTAACGTAAGAAACGCTAAAATATGACCTTATAACAACAAATTAAAAATTTATATTGTTACTTATTTACTTTTTAATAAAGTTTTTATGTTGTTTTTAGTTTTTAATAATACTATTTGTAAGAAAGTAGTAATTTGTTAATTAAAATACGTTTTATTTTTACTACATTTGCACCGCTAAATTTGCTGTCACGGCCTTTTGTTATTTATTTATCAAACTACCGTAAACACGGGTGGCTTTGGCTCACTTTCAAACTTCAGCTTAAAATTTTTGTGGTTTTAACAATCATAAACATTAAATTTTGTATACCAAAATTTGAGTCTTGAGTTGCTCTTTCATAATAACTATGTTATAATATTACATAGGGCTGAGTTTCAAAAATAAACATTAAAAACTGGGTGTGCAAAGTTACCCCCTGGTTGCGGGTTACTTTGTCTCACAGTGTTTTTTCAGTATAAAATGAATGTAATATTATATTATATTTTTATTAGACACGTGTTACCAGCGACATATATCTATTGCAAGGGATTACCAATAAAAAAAAATAAAAAATCGACCTGTAGTTAACCAAGCATCAACATTCCAATGGATTGCGCATAATATAGAAATTGTAACGCGTGTATTTGTAAGAGTTTTGCACTGATACGATATATACAATTTTAAAGTGTAATAAATCCCATTTCTTTCTTTAAAACACTGATTTTCCTGTAATATAAACTCAATAGAATTGCTCAATTGACAGGTTTAGACCAACAAATTATAAATGTTAATTTTTTCGAGCGCGAAAAGATTTTTCATAAATGGGTTAAAGTCACCCGCGGGGTGCAAAGTCACCCGTATTTAAATATTAAATATTTAAGTATTCAAATGTAGAATTTACATTGTAGATACTACCTTAAGACATATTTAGAAGGTACACCTATACTACACCTACTATTATAGTACATAGAAAGGCTTAGGGTATTTTAGGCAAATATAGTTTTTTGACATGTTTTGTTGGTTTTAGGAAATTTCCTACAATTTTTATCAGTTTTAACATTTTAGACCGTTTAAGGACGTTTTTAGAAATATTTAGTACATTTTGGAAAGTTTTAGGGTATTTTAGGCAAATGATAGTTTTGACTTTTGACCCCTAACCCTATCACTGACCCTTAATCATAGCTAATGTAAATACTAATTCCACGCAAAACAAATCGCAGGAACAGCTAGTATGATGTAATTTTAAATCTGACAAATTTTGTATTAACAATGTTTTTGTTGGATTTTTTCGTAGTATAATTAAAAAATTATTTTTTTAACCTATTGTTTTAAAATAATCATTACATAATTAAAATATTTATAAAAAATGTTAAATATTAATTTACAATATAATATAAAACCCAATAAAATCATCTGAACTAGAAAGTTCTTTCATCCGAAAAGCCTCTGCAGGTAACATACATAAGAACCACCCTCTTTTATTTAAAAACTTAAGTTTTACTACCTGCACAAACACTTTGCAGTTCAGGTAAACGCAACATCTTTCCGAATCTACTAATATTTGTTCTTAATACCTTTTCCATCTGTAAGCGGCATTTTAAATAAAAAGATTCAGGTCGAAATCCGCCAAAAAAAACTGTGCTCGTAAAATTAACACGAATAATAAAATCAGGATAAATATTAGTTATAAATAAGCAGTAAATGTCTTAATTATTACTATTAACTTTTCTATAATTATTGCAAACATTTTGTTTTAGCTTTCATTACATATACATATGTACGCTGTAGTAAGGTTTTTACTAAATTAGTTACGTCTAAAACTTTTCTGATTTTAGGAAGCGTTTTTCGTGGCTTCTTCACAATAAGGAAAAAGGACCCCCAAAATCGTCTACCGACATCTTCGACATGTTTTAACCTGTTGAAACTCCCAAATTACCAGAAGAAAAGCACGTTAAGAGAAAAATTACGTTATGCTGTTACGTGCAACACGGGATTCGAACTTTCGTAAAAGTGTCAAAAAACAAATAAAAAAATACAATTTTTACTCAAACGCTGTATATTACGCAATCTTTATTATAGTGCTGTCAAGGTACAGTCAAAGACTTTCATCTATGCTTGTTATGGAAACACAGAATTGCTTATTTTATTATTCAATTATGTTTCCATAACTCAAATAAACTGCGAAGATAGGCGCTCATTTATGAATAAAACAAATTTTGCGATGATTTTTAGAAAGTTATGGATTTGGTTCGAAAATATGGATTTTGATCAGGCTCAAAATGCGTCTTTTTTGTATAAAATAATTGTATATTGTGCGACTAGTGCAAGAAAGAGAAGATTGCTCGACGGTGGAGTTTGCGGTAACACGCGAATGAAATCTCCAATAGTCACACACAATTTGTATTTACTATTGCAAGGCATTTAGAGCCAATGTTATTTTATCTGACATTTGACAACAGATTTAACATTACTTTCGCAAACTAGAAACCAGCTGGTTGAAGTTCATTATTTCGCCCGCTCTCAGCAGAGCCAGGAAATTACATGCGTTAAATAAAAAGTATTTTGCAATTTTATTCCTTCGCAATTTTTTATTTTAGATTTTTTTCTATTAAATCAATTATTTCAAAAAGGTTAAGTGCGACATTACTTAAGTCTTTGACTGTACCTCTTTCAATGATTCATTCACTTAAGGTATAAAATAATAAAATTTAATAGCGGTGGTATCTTAGACCATATTTTTATTATATACCTATTTATCTTTATATTTAATTTTTATTACATAACATTTTTACTTAAAATAAAACACAAATGTCTTTTTGGACAATAAAAATAAGTCACTACCGAATATTTACGTTTTATCTATAAATTATTATTTTAAATAAGACAATCACTGTTAACTTTTAAAGGGTGTCTAAGGTAGCCTAAGTGCGCATTTTTCTGCGTAATTTCGGACTTCTTATATTTGGATGTATTGATTTAAAAGATCAAATAAAGGGGTAAGAAGCAAAAAGATACGAGTGCAAAAAAGAGAAGTGGTTAACTGCGCACTTTTGGACTACTCAACCATATATTTGGATAACTTGCGTCAAAATATCAATTTTTTTTAAAGCAATACAATATTTTTGTACATATTTTTTTGGTGTCAAACAAATGCCATTTTGATAAGTATTAAACATATAGAGGAATTTATTTTACTCCATATCAAATTTTTAATAGCCTATATTATTATTAAAATTATTATGAACATTGCAATTTGTGGGGTTATTTATTTAGAATATTTCCTTTTTTATTTGTGTGTTTGGTATTTTTAGAAATTGGTATTTCTGTTTCCAATAATTTTAAATATTTTTGACAAATATTCTGTCAATGAAATGTTAAAATCACGGTCTTATTATAAGACTTATACCGTGGTCAAATTATTTAAATTTATTGGAAACAGTAACACCAATTACTAAAATATACTGAACATACAAAAAGCAAACTCTTTATATTTTTATACTTAAAATTATTTCCAATTCACAATGCATTGTGCTAAGATACCAAAATTCAAAATTTGATTTACGCTGTAGAATTAATTGGGCTTAAATGTGTATAAATTTTAATTGTTTAGGAAATAAAAATTATTTATTTTAACTCGTATTTTAAAACCAAAACATCTTAAATGTTGAAAGAACTAACATTGTTTCTTTGTTTGTACTTGCAAGTACGCTATGGCGTACGTACTTTCCTTTGTTTTCCCCCGTACACAATGGATCTCCCGCCAGAGTTGCCAAGTGGAAAAAATAAATTTCACCAAATACTTACACGGACCGTTGCCAGGGAGATCTATTTGAATACGATATTGCATTAGGTGTTTTTTTATATAAATGTACATATATAAAACAATTTTCTAATGACGTTCCAAGAATACAAGTTAAAATTTATCAATAAGAAAGATGATGATTTTTTAACACAAAGGGGCTGTTCAAGTATTACGTAATCAGATTTACTAGAATTATTTACCCCCCTTTCCCCCTTGTCAGCAAAAGTAATCAAAGCTATTACCCCCCTCTCTCCCATGCTTACGTAAACATTGGTATACGCATTTTTCTTTTCGTTTTCAAGCAAAGACAATGTGTGGGTTGCCATATGTGTAAAAAATTAAATAACTACTGCTGACGTAATCTTTATCTAGACCCCCTCCCCCCATGTCATCAAAAATAAGCAAATCAAATACCCCCGTGCCCCCCTATAGTGCTTACGTAATACTTGAACGGCCCCTGTGGCACATTTTCTATGCTTGAAAACGAAAAGAAAAATGCATATACCAATGGGCGAAAGGGGGGGTAAGAGCTTTAATTACTTTTGCTGACAAGGGGGAAGGGGGGTAAATAATTGTTGTAAATCTGCTTGCGTAATACTTGAACGTTAGGGTGGAGCGAAATAGTATATTCTGTAACAAGTTTGGAATACAGCATATTCCGCTCGAGTGAAGAGTTTGTCACACGAGCCGAAGGCGACTTTGACGATTTCACGAGAGCGGATTATGCAATTCCAAACGTGTTTCAGACTATACTTTTTCTTCGTTTCCAAAAAATACCATGGAAAAATAATTTAATTGGAAGAAAGTGAGGTTGGATCGGTCTAAAATTTGTTAGATATTAAAAACAGAGATGTCGCCACGAGTGTTTTTTCTGTCATCAGATGATAGAATATTTCATTCTGTAACACTTTACGGAATATATGTCATTCCATAGATAAAAGTGATATTAGAAGGATCAAATTCTGTAATAGGAGTAAAAAAAAATATTTTTTTTGAGTTGGATTACCAAAGTTGCGCATGTGAAACAAAAAATGGCAAATAATTTGAAAAATATGTTTTTTTTCAATACGGTAAGCAACATTTTTTTTTCTCGACTTGCTTTACACATTACGTGCCAAAAGTTGCTCATTAGTAATGAGTCATTACCACACGTTTAAAATAAAGAATTACTAAATTTTCGATGATCTTCAGAGTCCGCATAAGAAAAAAGAATAATAGTTTTAAACAGCCAATGTATATTCAAATTAAAATAATTAATAATTTTTTGAAAATTTAATATTAGGTATATAATAAAAACGCGAATATTTATAAATCTTAAGTCTTATTTTAGTATAGAGATAAAAACAATTTTTGTTTTTTTGCTCTTAAAAAGATAAAAACAATTTTTGTTTTTTTGCTCTTAAAAAGATACCTATAGTGTTTTTTAAAACTTGCTATTCTCTCTAAATATTTTTTAATTTTAAAAAAGCTTTTAAATCTGTAATCGCGATTACAATACGCAACTTTTCCACACTAATGCTATTTTAATTTATAGAAAAAAAAATTTTGAACGTCCCCAAATTCATAAAAATTGTAAGATCCGGTAATAAGTTACTAGAGCTGGCAACGCTGTCAGCCGCCGTAGTCAGCTGTTGGTGCAGAGCGCACGCGCACGAAAACCTGCTGAATTCAGCCATGTTTAAATTTTAGTTTGTTGCGAAGCGAGGTTGAGGTTGTGTGTTGCGCGTACAGGGATCAATTACAACTTTTCCCTTTTTATTTTTTTAGCAACCTCGATCCGTTTATTATTTTTTACCTTATTAACAATTCGAAAACAGAGTTGTAGTGTGTAGGTACCAGTTGTTTTGTTATTTGACTGTGTGTTCGTGTTCGACGTTTCAAAGCAAGGCAAACCACTGCAGTAAAAAGATAATAGTGTTTTTAACAAAGTTGGCTTTGCATCTCGCCGTGTTTCGTTGAAAGTAGTGCATTTAAAGCAACAGTAGACTAGTATGTTGTAAGCTTTCGCACTGGGTCATAATTTAATGGCAGTTGTGGGCCCTAGTTGCCACCCAAGAGTATCCATGTCTATCTCGATGAGTCTGATGCAGGGTACAGTTGGCCCCGCGGCCGGCGGCCAACAGGGCGGCCTGCACGCGGCCCAGCCTTACTACCACCCTGCTCAGCATGCCGCAGCTCCGGCTCATACTCAGGAACAAGTACAACCGGACAGACCCATCGGCTATGGGGCCTTTGGAGTTGTTTGGTAAGTTTACAACAACGCTTTTTGTTTGTAAAAACGTCATGTAGAATGTATTCAAATTTCTAGACTACCTGATTTTCCAAGAAATTAAGGTACGTGAGTCACATTTTTCAAATTCTAGTTGGCGAGTACCTATTTTTTCCAACCAATTAAAACGTATATTACTGAAATTTTATGAAATAGGTTAAACTAAGGTAAATAATGTAACATTAAACTTTTTTATATAGAACCCGGATTCTAGACAAAATTTATATCTTTAATTTTGATAGGCCGTTAAAAATTCTTAGTGCAAATTTAGTTTTGTATATTTTACTGCAATTCAACACAAATCATTTTTGCCTTTTTTGACTTAAAAAAAAGCCTTATCTTAAATGCTTGTCTAAAATAAGAAAATAATACCTTATTAGTACTTTTGATTTTTTTAAATAGGTATTTTTAAATATTTTTTAAAATCGTCCATGTTTACCTGAAAAATTTACATTGTTACAAAAGTCGTACTTATTACAAAAGGGCCTATGTTGAGCGAACTTCAATCGCCTCCTTTAAAATTTTATTATTGGACCTACAGTGTGTCCGCGTAAGTTCTCTTCATATCGAAAACTTTTTAATTATTAATTTTACAAAAAAAGTTGCTGTTTATAAAAAGTTCTGATTCCTTAAAACATATAAAATCGTCCATGTTTACCTGAAAAATTTACATTGTTACAAAATTCGTACCTAGGTATTACACAAAGGCCTATGTTGAGCGAACTTCAATCGTCTCCTTTAAAATTTTATTATTGGACCTAAGTATACAGTGTGTCCGCGTATACCTATATCGAAAACTTTTTAATTATTAATTTTACGAAAAAATTTTACGCTTTATAAAAAGTTCTAATTCCTTAAAACATACCTATTATTAAACTATTAAAACTTGAAATAGCATATACTGGGTGGTCATTAAATACACTGAGAAAAAAGTTTATTGTTCCCAAATAAAAAGAATATTTAAATATGGGACAGAAGCATTGTTTATTTATCATAAATATATTTTTATTCCTGAAACATAAAGTTTTACTAAAGTATATTTATCGTTATTATTTCGACTATTTAGAGGTAATAAACAATATATTCACTATTAATAAAAGGTATTAGCAACACAGTTTATTTGTCCCACTTTTTTCTCAGTGTAGCAAACTGTACCCTTAATTTTTATTTTAGAGCAAAATAAAAAAAAAATGTTGCTTAGAATTTAAAGTAGGTAATCCATGGTCACCTATTATAAAAAATTTCATATTTAAAAATTGACTAATAAATAGGTACCTACTTATTTGGGTACTTACCTTTAAATATGCAACTTAAGCTAATAATTATTATAAGTACCATTTGCCCTACCAACATGATTACATTTTTGTTTTGTTTCTTAACCTCTGTTTTGCACTAATTTTTGTGATGTATTTAAATACTTAATTGATAATAGGATAATATGGATAGCTTTTATTGAAAAGGAACCAAGCGCCAAAAACTTTTTCTGGGGTAAACAAAATTATTTGCAAAATAACTCATTTTTAGTGCTGCTCAAAAATTAATAATGAATTTGGAACCTTCTTAATCCTTTTGAGAAAAGTTTCAAATAATGATTAACCTTTTAAGCAATATTAAATATGAGTTATTTTACAAATAATTTTACTAAGCCCAGAAAAAGTTTTTGGTGCTTGTTCCTTTTCGATAAGCGTTATCCATATGATTCTTTATTTTCCTTAATAGGTATAATAGTAACAAACATTTCATTTCAATCCACCTTTGCAAAATTTGTATTAGTCATTTTATAAATATTAATAGTTTTTTAATAGGAGACCATGGATTTAAACTTTAAATTCTAAGCCACCTTTCCATATTTTATTTTGCTCTAAAATAAAAATTAATGGTACTTTACTTCAAGGCCAATTATCAATTTTCTTATTTTATGACCACCCAGTACATGCTAATTAAGTTTGAACAGTCTAATATTATATTTTCATAAAGCAGTACTTTTATAAATACCTAGTAACTTTTTTCGTACAATTAATAATACAAAAGTTTACCATATGTAGAGAACTTACGCGGACACACTGTATACAGGGCGTCCAAAGTTATCTTCTCACCATTGCTAACTTCGTTATTATAGGAGCTACCTACAAAGTCGGTTAAATTAGCAAATTGGTGGTATTTTTAAATAAACATAATTTTTAAACAATTTAAAGATTTTGGTACAAGATGCTTTAATAATAATATCAGTTGTACAATTTAAAGACCGTATATTTTTACATCAAGTTTTTAGTTGACTTTTCTAAGAATAAAAATCGTGTTTCACCCCTCGTGTACCCCTTACCCGAGGGGGTAACAACTGCTGGCAATACATGTACAAATTGTGATGCATTACCCCGCATTACGGCGGCATTCCTGGCATTACATGACATTACCGGCATTATGTTGGCATTCCGCAGTATTACGCTGGTATTAGGCGGCATTACATTGCATTACTTACAAATTTCACGGCATTACGTACGAATTACGGCATTACGCTCGTATTTTATGGCATTAAGGTTGAATTTTGTGGTTGTGAATGGCAGTGTTTGTTTAGAAGTTAGTTAGAAAGTTAGGTATTTAAATTTAAGCTCGAGGTAAATGAAATAAAATCATTTATAGGTATTTTTAATTTTACTAAGATATTTAGTTTTTGCTCATCATTTAGAACATTTGCTAAGAAAGGGAATTACCCCAAGAACCACAGTTCTCCTTAAAACACAAACTTTGTCTTTTGAAGCATTTTTTTCTCAATAATTTCCTGAAATTTTTTAAGAAGCGTTTCTACCCAGGATGAAGTGTATTTTTATTTAACGAGAACTTAATGTAGACGCTGTTCACGTGATTGACGAAAACAAGGCCGTATTAAAAGCTAAATATCCATACGGGCCTAAGATTTTTATATTTTAAATCGAAAATTGGCATTTCTGCTTTAAATAATTTTAGATTATAAGATTTCATGACATTTGTCATTTTGACAAATTCTTTAAAAAATTAAATCAAAACGTATTAAATTACAGTAAAACCACAATGTAAGTATAGTATATTCTGTAACAAGTTTGGAATACAGCATATTCCGCTCGAGTGAAGAGTTTGTCCCACGAGCCGAATGCGAGTTTGACGGTTTCACGAGAGTGGAATATGCAATTCCAAACGTGTTTCAGACTATACTTTTTCTACGTTTCCAAAAAATACCATAGAAAAATAATTTAATTAAACGAAAGTGAGGTTGGATCGGTCTAAAATTTGTTAGATATTAAAACCAGAGATGTCGCCACGAGTGTTTATTCTGTCATCAGATGATAGAATATTTCATTCTGTAACACTTTACGGAATATATGTCATTCCATAGATAAAAGTGATATTAGAAGGGTCAAATTCCGTAATGGGAGTAGAAAAAAAAATTTTTTTTACTCCTAATACGGAATTTGACCCTTCAAATATAGCCTTCGGCTCGTGTGACAAACTCTTCACTCGAGCGGAATATGCTGTATTCCAAACTTGTTACAGAATATACTATTACATTAGAATTTTTCCTGACTTTAACATTAAAATTAATTATAGATTAACATTTTTAAGAAAAAATGTATTTTTCTCCCAATATTTTTAAACTTGTGAAAAATCTTAAATCTTCTGGAACTGGGTGGTAATATTATGGCTTATGCATAATTATGTGTACATATTAGTTTTTATTTCCTGCGAGCTTAGGTACTAATTCTTTCCGCACTTTTTCGTCAACATATTGGCAATCGTTGACAATTGAGCAGGAAAAGAAATTTTTGTAAAATTTAATAGAATTTAGTTGTCCTTGTTTGAGTTCTTGCTAATTTTAATATTTTCCAGCTATTTCAGTCCATATTAAATCAACCGAAACTCGAAATCAACCAAAAAATTGATAATTTTTTCCCTTACCAACTTTGATTTTGATGATTTTTGGTAAATTTGTTTTATAAAAACACAACTTTTTTTTTTCTTCGATGACGTGTTTTTGTTTTATTGATTTTGAAAATCGAAAACTTGCCGATTTGGGTCTTTTACAAAAATAGCAATATCTCAAAAACCACTTAAGGTAAAAGTGATGGCCAGAGCTGTAAAGTAATTGAATTAAAGTAATTGAAAATGTAATTAAATTTTTTTACAGTAGGTAATTTAATAACTTTAATTAAATTATTTTTTTAAAACCTTAAAAATAATTGGCACTTCAATTACTTTCTAGAAAGTAATTGTAATTGGTAATTGTTTTTAAGATATTTGAGAAATTGAATTATTTTTCAAAGGATTCAATTCCTTTAAAGTAATTTAATTCCTTTATAGTAATTCAATGCTGTATGCTGCAATAAAATATAGTTTTCTTAAAAAAATAAAAAAGGCATTTTTGACATATTTAATTTTTTTTCTCAAAATGATGAAAAAATTAGTCTATGTGATATATCATAAAAAGGCCCCTAAAAGACCTTTAAAACAGGACCCACCTTTTACTTTAAATAGTATTTGACATATTGCATTTTTTTAATTTTTAACAAACTTGTTATTACAAAAAAATGGATCTTTGAGTTTTTTAATGATTAAAACAAATTTACCAAAAATAATCAAAATCGGAGATGGTGAAGAAAAAGCTTTCGGGTGATTTGATATGGACTGACCCAGCTATTTAGGGTTAAGTGGAAGAATGATCCATGATCAAACTTCTCCCTTTCGATGAATTACTTTTTATGTCAAATAAAGTCGTTTTATTATTATTATTATTATTATTTCTGTCCCTTGTTTTATAGTTTATTTGATTTTTTAGAATGTCTTCATCAGAAAAGAATTAATATTATAAAGTTCAACTGCATGGTTTTCAGTTACCAGTTTAAATGTAAAAAAAACCTTATGATTTCCACTGGTTATGACAACCTATATTCGATATCAAAAATCACTGATATTCATATTGAAAATATAAATTTATTTGCAAGAAA